TTCACAACAGCTTCAATATTATCACAATATACGGCGTCGACGTTTAATTTACTTTTTTTGTCAAGTTTAATTTACTTAAAACCACAACAACCTTTTAAAACGCTGCAATACAAATATTTGAGTTTTCCAAGAGACTATACCATTTTGAGGCATGCATATTTCTTCGAAACCTGCGAGATTGAATAACCTGAAAAGCAAACCACGATAGATGCATCTATTTTAGAGATGCACGTCGGGTATATGTACAAAGTTGAACGGGTCTTTGTGGATATAAGCAAGCAAATAAGTAATGACCTTGAAGGTATAACGAAATACAATGTCTGAATTCTGAAAAGATGCAAGCAAGCAAAATGAAAATAACTTCGAGGGGATAATGAAGCATGAATCTTGAAAGGATACAAGGAAAAAAAATGCAAAATGGTTTTGAGAGGATAATGAAACAAAAACCCTGAAATGATGCACGCAAGAATCTTGAGGGGAAGATGTTTGACTCAATGCTCCCGTATGTTTTTGTTTTGTTACTTCGAGTATTGTTGCTGAGTTACCTTCTGATTGAACTTTCCTCTTGACAGATTATGGTTCGTCGGTTGAAGATGAAACGTGTGGTGAAAATCGTATTTTCTATGCGATGCGACGATTTATCACTTCAATCTAAAAATTCCCTTGACATTTTTGTTTAGGCTAAACATCTATCATTTGATCCGATTTGGCTAAATGGACGGATTAGCCCGCATAGACACTCCGCATATGTGTCGGCTAGTGAGCGTTTAGCACATTTTAAATATTATTTTATAGAAAACAATGCCTCGACGTTATTAGGCTTTCTCATCCTCCTGACATTTTTTCTTTCTCGTGATTAGAGTAAAGAATGGAATGATGGTTTTCTTTTGGCTCACAACAACTTCATATTAAGCAATGTAAGAAACACTCAGTTTATCAACCATTACATTTTTCACCGATACTAGTTGGCAAAATAGAATAAAGTTAGAGTCTCATTTGCTACTCTATCCGCTACTTGATCTCTTCGTATATAAATAAACATCAATCTCGCTGCATCCACTTCAGAGAGCATGGCAATCATATCTTGTTTCCAAGGCGATAGAAAGGGCTAATTATCAGTTTCGACCATAACATCTATCACCTGTTTCGAGTCATATTCAAATATTACCTTTGAGTAGCTAAGACTTGCTACTGATTTGATTG